ATTCTGAAGCTTTTGGTACCAAAATATTTTTATCTTTGTACTTCGATACATAATTCACACAATCGTTAAGAAGTGTTAACTATTCATATTTCTATTGGTCAAGAACTCATTAAAAAGTATTATGAATAAATACTATTAATATTACTGTATTAAATTTAAAATTTTTTTAGACGTATTAATATATGTATATATTTTGTAAATAGCGTAAGAGGAAAAAAAATAGACCATTTAAAAATATGAAATAATAAAAATTTTTGGTATAATGAAGAATGCCAGTTGTATTTTAGAATATAAATATTAGCTTAGAAGCGAAACCCGTCTTTTCTTACAAAACATCTAGATAGTCCTATTATTTCATATGTGCTGCAACTTCTGATCCCTTAATTAAATCATTATTACCCTGAAAATTTCTGACGCCGATACCCATGAGTTCATATTTAAACCATGTGATGAACTTGTGTGTAATTGATTACATTCGGATATCCAATTACGAGTTAATGAAGAATTATTCTGCTCGGTTGATAAGGTTTTAAATTAGTTATGCTAAGTCTTTGAGCTTAACTTTACTATTTTAACATTTTTAGTATAACGAGAATAATTAATACTATATTTTCACAGTTTGTCAAGCAAATTTTGCTTCTGATTAGTATATCTATAATATTTTAACGATATCTAAGCAAAAAGGATAAAGAAAACTTGAGATCTGGTTTTAAGCAAAAAATAAATAAAAAGCAGAGTCACAATGGAAAATATATCCAGCTTATTAAAGAAAGATGATGGCGAGTCTACATCTTTTAATGATCTTGCAAAAAGGAATAATTGAAACATGGGAAGAAAGTAGTAAGACAACTAAGTATTACTCAGAAATTAAATCTTATAAAGTCCCAAAAATTAAACTTGATATAGAATGTGAAGAACATGAAATAGTTCAACTTAAAGATCTAAATATTTATGTAGAAGAATTAACATAATATTGATGTACTATTTAGAAATTGGAGAAAACCAAAACAAAATTTAGATTATAAATTCATAAGTAGAATTACTATTTTATTGGATGTATTTTATCATAGTATAGCTATTCTAAAGAAACAAGTATACTACTATTGGTTAGTTCAGATTATTATCATTAATTGGTTCAATTGTAGAACATTATGCTTCTAAAAAAGAAAGCAATTAGGATTGGATATTTTATAAAACTTTGAAAAGTTAAAATATTAGCATAGTAATTTAACAAGTGTTCTAATTATTTAATTTAAATCATTACTTCAGAAGAAAAAGTAAATAATGCTCTTCTTAATTTTCAATTATCATTTAAAAAAAAAATAGAAATTTATTCAAAAGATTACAAAAAAACCTAATTAGTGAAACAAAAGCATCTAGTACAATTCATTCAAAAAGTCACAGTGAAATATCTTTTTAGCACAATTTATTCAAAAAATCACAGTGAAATTTCTAGCACAATTTATTCAAGTGATATATCTAGTGTAAACTTAATAATTGATAGCAAAATTTCTATTGCATCTCAAATAGTAAGAAATAATATTTTACAAGAGAAGCTGTTAAAAACTTTTTAAATAATTAGAAAGAATGTAATGATAACAAAGCAATAAATAATTTTAAGCTCTCTTTCTAATAAACTACATAATGAATCTTAAATATAAAATTTTATAGTTTAGTATAAAAGAAGTAAAAGAAGGTATGTTTTCTTAAGAAAACATAATAATTTTAGAAGAATAATAGGTTTATATAGCAAGCTTGGTTTTTTTTACATCCAGAACTATTAGTAGAGGTCTGATCCAATGAATATTATATCCAAATATTCACTGAATATTCAAATGCTTGAATACAATTTTTTTCACCAAATTGAATATTCAAATATTTCATTTATTGACCAAATAATTCATTGAATATTCATTGAATATATGGGGTGAAGTCAATAGAAAAGGGATAAATTTTTTCTAAGTAAAAGTTTTCTTGACTTTAAGCTTAAATATTTTAGCAGTTATCTTACCAAACTTGATAATTTTTTTATTTTAATTCTTTATAATTTCAAGATTAAAATAAAAAAATTTTGAACAAATTTGATTAATTAGTTGTTAAGTTATTTTAATTTATAAATTAAAAAAATTTTATTAAAAAATAATTTGTCCCTTTTATATTGACTCCACCCCATATAATTAAATTATCTAATTAATTAGTTAAATCCAAAATTAGATAGAATAGTTTTAGTATATTTACTCTACTTATACTAAATTAATTTATAAATAAAAAAATATTAAATATAAATATTTATATAGTTATTAATTATAAAATTATTTATTAGTAGATGTAAAATTTTTATAAATTAAAATATAAACTTATATCCTTCTTTAATATATTTGTTTTTAATAATTAATATTAAATTAAATGCTAATAATTTATATTTTTATATTTATTTAAATATTATATATTTACTATTAGCTAGCTATTTAAATATTATATATTAATTATCAGCTAGCAATTTAATCATAATATTATTAATAAAGTATAAAATTGGTTATACTATATACAATATTCAATGAATATTCGAATATTCATTCAAAATTTTTCAATGAATATTTGAATATTAAAAGTATTGAACGAATGAATATCCGAATACAAATTTTTTGATCGGATAAGACCTCTAACTATCAGTTGATTATAGAGTGTCCATTTTATAAGTAAAAATGTTTAGAAGTAAAAAAAAATACATTATCATTTATTTTTTATATAAATTTATTAATTATTAAAGCTTGAATATGCTTTGGACATTCTTTAACACTCGGACACTTGGATATTGGACATCAAAAACGTTCAACACTACACAACAGCATACATATGAACATGAAAATTAACACATAACTAATCTTTACTATTAATGTACAATCAATAGCAAGATTTATTGTAGTAAGATTTTTGTCAGCTACAATATACAAAATTAACAACTAGCGTCATTAAACCATTTACAAGATATAAACATTAGATTTACTGGTTCTTGTTAAATCATAACTCTTTTTGACTAATAGCGATAGTCCAACATTTTGGCTACGTATAACTATTCTAGCTTATTATACTGTATTATATAGTTTATATAGTTCCATTTTTGTTAGAGTAAATTAAACTTAATTATAAAAATTATGGTTTCTTGATCACAAATGAATACTACAATAAAAGAACTATTTTTATACAGTAATTAGCAAGTTTCTTGTTAGTCACAATACATAATTTATTGATATTAATAATGTTAATTTAAATGACATTGTATGAATCTTAAATTTAAGGGTAGGATGGGTATTATGACGCGAAAGGTATTGTGATGCATTTACGTTTTTTATCAATATCTCTCGAAACAGTAGTCTGGAATGAATGATTTTCGTACCATTCGATTCGTCTTTTTTAGGTAGTTTTTGAAGTTTGGAATACTAAGAGCGTAGCCCTAAAAGACTACTCGGAGGAATTTTTAAGTTTTGAACCTTTGGATTTTGATTTAACTGGTGAAATTTGAGGAGGAGAAACATGGAAAAAGTTCTCTTTTTTTAAACTACAATGATTTTTTTATTATTAGATAGTAAATCGAATGTTATTTTAATTTGTAAATTTTGTGAATAAATATATTTTTCTAAAATTTTACTATTAGCAAATCTTAAGTGCGCCATAATACCCGTCCTACCCTCATGTTTGCAAATTTTAAATTTGTTGTGTAATACTATAATAAAAATTTACGTTAATATTTTACTAGAATTAACCTGTTTGTCTTGAGCTAACGTAATACGTATACGTAGAACTTTAATAATAAATAAGTAATTTTTGTGTCTTCTACGTAGAAAAGGATGTAAATTTGGGTCATTGAGGTCATTTAGTCATTTGTGCATAAAACAATTTTATTGGTTTAATAACTAGAAAAGTTATTAGTTTTCTAGTTGCTCCATACACAGTATAAGTTAAAGTTTTACTAAACTAGTCGTTATTTACAGTATGTCAAATAAAATTTCGGAATATGTAACAAATTGCATATACTCTAAAAGTTTCATATAATTTGAATAATTCTATTGATTCACTTCGCATTTCCATTTATAAAAAAATTCTTAAGTTTTCATACTTTAAATGCGAAAGTGAATTAATAAAAAGTTATTCAAATATGCAATTTGTTATTTTGAAGTTTTACTTAAGGCATAAATATTGACTAGCTTAATAAATTTTAATAAATTTTGACTTTTAAAAAAGTTACGATTATTAATTGTGTTTTATCATATAAAAATTTGCATTTTATCCTGTAACCAATTTTATTGATTAAAAAGCTTCTCAGTCATTTAGGAATTCGAAATGACCAATGACTAGTCAGTCATTTGTCATTTGAGTCATCAGGTCATCTCAAGTCATTTACCATCCCTGCTTCTAGGTGTTCAATAAAGTAGCACCGTATGGCAATACAGATTCGGACTGACTTACAAAATTTTTGAAAGTGTATACGATTAACATAGACTTATAAAATACAATAAGTAATCTTATTTATTGATTAATGTTAGAACAGGTTATAGGAAAGTTACTTTGGTTTGAATTTTTGCTTTTATAAACCGTGCGCAATATCATAATTTCCTCATTTCCTTCCTAATTTACGTTTCCATACTGTACTACTTTATATTTCTGGACATTACCAATATCAATAGCGATATAAAGTGAATCATGAAGACAAATACAACATATATGTACTTGCAGATTGTACCTAGAACAGACGTAAAAGTACAGTACAAACTACGTATTTTTTCTTCATATTACCTACCCGTTACTATATAAATTATTATAAATTATGTTGAGGAAGCGCGATAATTCTGATAAATATGACTAAAATAATCCTATGTGTCGTACTGTGGGCCTAATTCAATGATCTTATTGCGTGGCTTTTCTTACAAACAAATCAATTATGCGTGCGTGTGTACGTACTGTACGTACGTATTATACGTGTTATAATGAGATCAATTGTGAAACGTGTTTTGATAAAATTTAAAATTTTAAGTCAAAGATTTATTTATAATTAGCATATACGTAATGATAACTTTTTTTAATTTGTAAGGCTTTTGATAATAAAATATCAGAATATTAATTTCGCCACTAACTAGACGTCACGTTTGTTTTCAATCAGCGAAATATGAACTCTTCATCTAACGGACAAAATGATTTGACATCTTGCCAAATTATTTTGCGCAGAATGTATATTTGGAAATGGTTGAATTAATCTTTGACGTGTAAAAAAAGTTGTAATTTTAATAACTAATAATTAAACATATGTTTCAACGCTTTTTCAAAGTTATATAAACACCTCAAAAACTTCTATTTTCAATATTCATTGTGAATAAATAAAAAATTACACTCAAGTCTCTCAAGTTACTTTCCTAAAGTCCAAAAAAAATGAAGTTCAACAATTTCTTCATATCATTAATAACATTTTTATTATTTATTACAATTATTTTTGCTGATATTAACGACCGTGATGATCTAGACGAGAGAGCTGAATGGTATAATAATTGTAAGTACATAACAAAAAAACGAAAAAATGCACTATATTTATATATGTAATATATATATGTATTTATTTTTAGACGGCAGTGCCTTATACCCTAACAACTTTCATCGCAAACGTGATGGTGGGAATCGTAAACGTGACTTACCGATTTTTTTAAATTATAAACGTGACGCTTCTCCGAAAGCTAATTTTTACTACTATAAACTTCAAAAGAGTAGTAACGAGTCTAATAAACAAGATGAAGAAGATAATGAACAGAATGGTGAAAATGAAAATGAATCTAATAATCAAAAACGTAATGCGAATGCTGTGCCTTACTATTACTCATATCCAGGATATCTCTTTTACAAGAAGGAAGCAACCTCACCTTATTACTATTACAAGAGAGAATTTCCACCTTATTATAATAACAAACCATCCGATTCATCATAACATTACTATTACTCTTAGAAATTTTCGTGTAGATTTTATAGAATTAGAAAATTAATTTGTTTTACCACTTGTTGATCAAATGTAATTCTTTTGTAAATAATAAATACATAATCTTTTTCTATTAATGCTTTTTTTTTTTTTTACAAATAAAGTTAGCGTTTATTAGGTTTAGATGTGGCAAAAAAAAAAACATTTTAATGTTTTTTTTTAAGATTTTTAAACCGTTTTAAGACATTGGTGATTATGTGGCGGCTACATCTGATTTAGCTTTAGCCATGACTAGCGTTGCAAACTTAATTAAATTAATTTAATTTGGGTATTATAAAAGCAAAAAAAAACAAAATTAATTATATTTTTGTATTTTTAATAATTTTTGCATTATTTAAAGGCCGAAAATATATGTACAAGTTATTTAAACTATGTACGTACAGTACGTACGTACAATAAAAAGCATTACATCAATTATTTGTAAGATGAGATTATAATTTTTGTAATTTACTAAGCAATAATATTTTTGTAAGATAAATTATTATTTTAGCATTTAAGTTTGCAACGCTAACCATGACATTATTTCTTAGGTACAATAATTCATTCTCACAAAACTACGCAATAGTTTTGTAATTCTTATAAAAAATATATATATTTTTAAAACAATATAAAGTTGTGTTTTTTCTATCCCTAGTTAGATTCATTCTGTAAAGTATGTAAATTCTTTTTTTCTTTAAAGTTTAAGCCTGTAACAAAAAAAAAAAAAAAGCGGATATACAATCTATATATTTATATATCTATCTATAGGTCTAAAAATAAATAAATATGCATCGTACGTACAAGTACTCTGTTACTATGAAATTATTTTGATTTTAGAAGAAAAGAATTACAGAATTAAAGTTTATACAAGTAAGTGAGTGTGGGAAGAAAAAAAAAAAAGGTTAATTGTCTTTATGTGCAACGGCAAACAGTTCATTCTTTGGTTGATCTAAGGAATTCAGACTAATTGAGTTACGATTCACAAGATCTTGATAAGTCATATAGAAAAGAAAAACAAAATAAAAATAAATATGAATATATTTTCAAGTAAATCGTTTTTTGGTTTTTTTTTTTTTTTTTCAGATTAAAAACCTAAAAAAAAATGATCTCTTCAAATTTCGATCGAAACGCCTCAAATCAAGACTCAAGAAATGCAAAACTACCATTTTATTGCGTTATACTTACTCTTCTGGTTGCAATCGGTGGCTTTGAAAATGGGTTGAATACAGGCATTACTAATATACCAGGTACTTAATGCAATAAATAGTGGATCTTGATACCTGTAAATTTAAATATTATTTTTCAAGATTTTTTTTTTTTTTTGTAACGAAAGAACAAACAATTAGAAATTGTTCGAATGGATATAAATCCGTGCAAGGAGTAGGAGTGCCATACTGTCTTCCAATGGGGAACTTACTCTGGTAAACCTAAAATGGCATCATTAAATTGGGTGACTGACATTTCCACACTCTTACGAATCGGGAACGATTGTAATTATGACTTAGGATAAAGTTAACCATGTGTGATGCACCAATAATTGAAAATCCTGCTTAAGGATAAGCAATTAACTATTTAAAGTAACATAGACCGCACATGTATGCATAAGCGTCATATATTAATGTGTGTTACAATACATAGGTGTGGAAATACCAGTCCCCTAATTAAAGAATTGAATCAGTTTAGTTAACTACTATGTTTAGTCGACTAACTAATCGACTAAGCATAGTATATAGTTAATTAGATTAATTTTTTAATCGACTAAACTGATTTCAATCCTTAAATTAATAAATAATAGTCTAATCTAGATATAAATAGGGGTTTTGCAACGGGAGGTCATCCATTGGGTGCTATTATTGGAGGTCTCTCAGCGGGTAGCTTACAAACAATACTTGGCAGAAAAAAAGCGTTAATATATAATTCCATTTTTTGGATCATCGGCGGAGTACTTCTCGGTGCGTCCGTAAATCCGGGAATGTTTATATGCGGACGTATTCTTACTGGGATCGGTACTGGTGTTGGTTCCGTCGTTATTCCAGTATATATCAAAATATTTGTGATCTTTTTTTAAACGATATTACTTAAACAATAATAACGATTATTTATTATTTTTTTTTTAAATCAAGACATATCTGGGTGAAATCTCGACAATCAGGTCACGTGGTTTGGTTGGATCGGTTTATCAAGATTCTGTCGTGATTGGAATAGTTGTCTCCCAACTTATTAGTTTGCCATTAACATATATTCCCGGCTGGCGCATTCTCTTAACACTGACGTCAGCAATTGCAATCCTCCAATTAATATTAATACCTATTATAGGAGTGGAAACTCCAAGATATTTGATTTCACAAAATCAAATCTCCAAAGCGAAAGAAACATTACAAAAATTAAGAAAAGGATATAACATTGATCTAGAATTTGATGAAATACTTCAGGGACAATCTGAAAAACAGATTAATGAGATTAATGAGAATACTATTGAGAAGGATGAAAAATATATACAAAATTCTCTTGTTGAAACTAATAATCAATTTGAAATAAAGAAATCATCTTCATTTAAGGATATTTTACAGGATTCATATTGTCGCAAAGCGTTATTTATTTGCATCGGAACACATATTGCACAACAACTTAATGGTATTCAAGCAATCGTCTATTATAGGTAACTTCATCATAACCATTTATCATACTGATTTGTACTGTACGTACGTGCATATTTCTAAATATATAAGCTATATAATTAAATAATTTAATATATAGTACTGGAATTTTCTTAACTGTCATGGGTGATTCGGCCAAATACGTAACTCTAATCATAGGTAGTGCACTCTTGCTAGTCACTTTAACGTCAACCTTTCTGATAGATCGAATGGGAAGAAGACCATTATTACTATTATCTGAGATTGGTGTTACCTTCGCATGTTTTCTAATCGTTATTGGCTCAATATATGAAAATAACATTCTTCTTATTATTGCATGTAAGAAATTCATTATAATTTATTATTGAAATGTAATATGAATTCGCTACGAAATACTTATAATCGGAAGCTAGATTCACAATCTCGAAATTTAATATCCTAACAACTCGATGCTCAGAAAATTTGATATTAATCGGGGTTATGGTTTATGCTTCTGAGTTATTGGGATTGTAAACAAAAATATATATAACTTTTTCTGATAAAAAAATATTTTATTGTTTTTTTCAAAGTTTTACTTCATGTTACTACTTTCAGTATCGCTCTTGGAACTTTGCCGTTCTTTATCATCTCAGGTATGATATTTAAACAATCTTCATTAAAACTTTCTTATGATTGATTAATTCATATTTATTCACAATATCACGTAAATCCACGTGACCATCAGAAATTATACCAACACGTTTCTTAAGCTTGGTCAGTTCGATATGTTTAGGTGTAAATTGGACCTTAAATTTTCTTGTAAGCTTCGTATTTCCTAAGATGGAAGAAGCTTTACAAGATTATACTTTCCTCATTTTTGGTGTAATTGGCGTTTTTTGCATAATCTTTATCTGGATTTTTGTTCCGGAGGTTTGTTTTTTATTTTTTTATACCAAATATTGTTGTGTAATTAACTAAATTTTTTTTTTTTTTAGACCAAAGGAAAAAGCATCGAAGAAATAACTTCAAAGAAATAAATAATATATATTTTTTGAAATAATTGGATTATACATTATTTAATTCTGGTTAAAAAAAATTAAGTTGTATCAGATTTTTTTTTTTTTTTACTCAAAAAATCTATATAAACTTCTTGTACATCTTCTTTGTAATTATAATTTCTCAATGTAATTCAAAAAAAGAATATATGAATTTGATTCTTTTTGGCCACTCTTATTGTTTTATTAAACAATAAAAGAGCTAGTTTGTATTTACTAAAGGCTAATTTTACTTTATCTAATGGATATTTGTTAAAATAAAAAAAATATATACTTTATCATTGCATAAGAACTGTAGCAACCAAAATGTTGCATAAGTTTCTCGTGAATAGGGATGTTAAGTCGTTCAAGTGAACCGGGTCCGAACCTAGTTCAACCTACTTTTTTTAGCCGTTCGTTCAAAAGAAAATTCTTGAATCAGTTTTATAATCTAGTTTATAAATCTGGTTACAAACCTAACTTATAAACTGGTTCAGAAACTCAGTTTATGAATCTGGTTATGGTTATAACATAAGAAATTGCCAGGAACGGGGAGAATATGTGAATTAAAAAAATTAAGTTGTGTAGGTGCAAATATAATGTAAATATAGTCATGGCATTTTAGCCGTAAGTCATTAATTACAATTTATAGCATACATCATGAATTCAAAAGTCATAATAAAAAATGGTAAGTTTTTGCATTTAAATCGATAACTAGGTAAGGAAATTTAACTTATTATCACAATGTTATAGAATAAAGTTTCATAGAACACGTGTTTCCTAATGAAAAATCATAAGGTTTCTATGTAATCAAAATATTACCTATCAGATCTTATATACACTATTTTAAATTTACAGATAACACCCAGGGGTGTATTCGTATTTTTGGCCTTAATTCTGGCCAGTATTTAAAAAATAACACCCATAGGCGTTATTTTCGTGTTTATATGGTCCTGAAACCTGATTATAATCGATTACAAGCAGTTAATCGATTATAATCGATTGATTTAACCGATTGCTATCGCCAGGGATGTAGGTCCTGCAAGGATTATGGTCCGGACCGGTCTTTTGGACCAGTCCAACCAGTTTTCGGTCCTAAATTGAGGACCGATCTGGACCAGTTTATAACCTATAGAATGATCTCATTGGCTAAAAAAAAAAAATGTCGACGACCGTATCTATGTCGGCCTAATTCAGTAACTTATTGATTCGGTCATTGTGGTGATGCAGTAGAATCGTCCCAATGAAGTTACGGCTTAAGCCATAACTAACTAAAAACTTATGTCGCAAGACAAATCATTGGGATGGTTCTACTGCATCACTAGGTCATTGACAATTTTTTCAATTGTCCCGATGATAGCTGTAAGTTTTTTTTTATCATTAAAAACACATAGCTTACTTTGAAACCCAGCCAATAGACCGATTTACGGACCGGTCCTGGACCGCGGTCCTCTGGTAGTACCGGTCTTTAGGACCAAGAACGGACCGGGACGGACCGTAACATCCTTACAGGGATGTTGATAATCGATATCGATTACAAACGATTTAAATTAATCGATTATAATTGATTGGCTTCAATTTGTATTTTGTATTGATTATAATCAATTAAAATCTCTATCGCATTTAATGATTGTTTTATTAACATTGTTTAAGTTTGGTAAATAGTCTATACTTCTGTGAATGGTAATACAAATTTTTATAAATAGTAAATAGACAATAACGTGAATTTTTTCATTTATTCTTGCAACCCATAAAGTTCTCGATCAAGGACCATCAAAACATTTGCACGTATACTTTTTTTTGGTAGGATATTTTAGGAAGAAAGGTTCCTATTTATGTGGTAATACGTAGCAATAGTAATAGCGATAGTACTGTAATAATAATAGTAAATTGTAAATTGTAAATAGTATCATGAAACTTGGTTTAAAAAAAAAAATTACAAAAGAAATCTTAACGTGGTAAAAATTTTAGCTTTGTTTTTTTTGTATTGGATTTTTTACCGGACAGATGAATTGATAATCACTAATGTTAAATAAAGGCCATAGCGGGTGATCCTATACCGACTAATAACGATAAATCATAGTCGGATTATTCATTTGTTCAAAAAAGAAAATTTATTAAATACATGGTATTCTGGCTATACTATACCAACAGTTTGGTTAACCGCCGACTTCAATTGATAGATAATATGGATTTTGTTGAACTTAAATTGGGAATGAATCATAATAGGTTCGGAATCCACTTAGGTTAGAACAGAATAATTATACTAAAATCTCAACCCTAACCTTAAAAATTCTCAATCAACTTAAATTATGTTCCCACTTACGACATATATATGTTTCTACGTTCGACATGAAATTTCCTGGTATCTTTAACATTTTACGATGGCATGATTTCCTGACATTAATGTTTGAACTCGAGTCAACTAGTAGCTTAAAAACATAGTCATAACTCAAATTAACTTGAGTCGAGACTGACTCGAGTCCAAACACTACGGGTAATGTAATGCTCTTTTTTATAAACCAGCCGTGATAATTTATAAATTTTAAGCTATAAAAATTGCCGGTAGGTTTTTGCAAAAAAATTTCAGTTATCACAAATCGGTTGTATTACAAAAAATAATGTTTATTCTGCTACTAAACGATTAATCTAAAATTACTATTAAACGAGAAAATTTGGCCACTTTATATGCTAAATTTGACCACTTTATATATTAACTACGTAAGTTTAGAGTTGTTAAAACAAGTTATATACATATGTAGTTAATACGTAGTAAGTTAAATTATAGTAAATTATATGTTGTGTCTCAGATTAATGCTTGCGTCAGATGTTGATTTTTTGGCCCGCATTAACTGATCGACATTGATTGACCTAAATTAAGCCCAAATCCTTCCCAGATTCTTACCCTATCCTCGAGACAAGCGTTAGTCTGAGGCACGACATAGGCTATAGCACAGCGTCCGGCGTACATGTTATCAGGACCGGCACATTTCCCGATCACGCCCGTCACACATAGCGAATGTCACACTTTGCGAATCCTACGATTACCCAAATCGGCAAAATCGGAAAATCCTATAATTGCCAAAAT